CACCGCCGGGCCAGCCCCCCTTCCCCGGCTCCGCAGAGCCTGTTTCTCATTAGAGTAACGGGCGCGGTCCGCGGCTGACTCCCGAGTGTTTGTAAACGTCTGACCCGAGGGCCCAGGCTTAACTGTTGGGGTGCTGGGCTCGGGGCGCTGTGGGAGGCGCGGCCTGGAGTCAAAGGGATTCAAAGATTGGAGGTCTCTGCGGCCTCTCAGAAAAGTTTGAAGCTTTTGGTGTGCGTGGGGGGAAAGGCTATCGCCTTCCCCACCTCTCGACCTCTCGCGTCCGAGTCGTGAATCTCCCTTGTGACTCCCTCTCTCACACCGTAGGCCTCTTCAGGTCTGTCCTCCCCGGAAACTCCAGTCCGGGTCTTCCTTTCTCCTGCCCAGGTGACAGGTGTCCAGCCCAGGGGCCCACCAGGTTTCAAGGCTCCCGGACCCCTAGTAAACCTGGCCAAGATTTTCAGGAGAGCCGGAGCGGGATGCATTCAGATCAGAAATTCATTCCAGACTTCAATTCCAGGGAGGAGGGAGCCGACTTCCCGTGGAGGCTAATTAATGGCCCCTCTGGGTGGCAGAAACTAGGGTAGCAGCAAAGCCCGGCCTGGATCTATGCCCATTAGGGGCTGTGTGTCTTGAAACATTTCTTCAGCCCTCGCGTTGGGTGGCTCTGAGAGGCGCAGGGTGGTTAAAAGTTCTTCTCCTTCAGGGTATGGGGCGGGAGCTGCTGATTTGGGAAGCCAAAAGCTTTCAGAAGGCCCAGCCAGAGTGGACTCGCCTCCGCCGAATGACTGGGAAGGAATGGTCTTTTCCTCTTTAGGGGACTCTGGAAACCTCTGTACCCCAAAGGCTGCTAGACCTCAGGCTTGGAGGGAGTGGAGGAGAGGTGGTCTTTCTTGGCTTGATGCTGGCTACACTGCCTTCAGAAGTTAAGAAAGGGTCTTCTGAGGGGCCTTTACATGGGGATCCTGGGTGTGGCCTCTTTAAGGATTTGCGACTCGAGCCCCAAGTTGAGGCCAGGTGGGGTAGGGGCCGGACTCCCTGTGGGAAATGATTGTCACAACTTCGGGCCAATAGGCATCATTAGGGTCGTATCGAGGTTGAAGGGAATATTTCTCAATTCAGTTTTTTTTTTTTTAAGAGGGAGGGACTGAAGAGAGGAGGAGGAGG